ACGTCTCCGAGCCCTGACTATCGACAAGCAGTTCATGACGAGTCTCGAGTTGTCTTTATCGTGCATTGCTCGTCTCGCTCGGGAAGAACTTGCATATAGCACAACAACTTGCACATACTGTCGAAGACTGAATGTAAACCAGCATTCCACGCCCATGTACTAGTTAACTAGCAACCTTCGTAGGATACATTTAAAACTTGTCAGAGGTAGGCGATGAATGTGGAAATGTCACGGTGACACACCAAGCTGTAACAATATCACGCGGCCGCCTGCAGCCATCATTTAAACGCTGACGTAACAAAATTAAATGATTGGCCATGATTTAATGCACCCTTACGATTAACGTGCAAATAAGCTTATGGTCTAAAGCGTCGGCTGAAAGGAACAGAGGTCGGGCGTCGCGTAAGCTGCGCCCAGTACGTCCGGGTCAGGCACATCCTGTCGCGATATGCCACGCTCGCGACGCGCGCGACGGTACCGCCGCAGGCCTGAATGAGACATCGCATGGGCGTGAGCTTCGTGCCGCTGGAGAAGGATATGACCAGCAATGCGGGCATTATATACATGGGGATGCAGGCGAGAACAAGATCTTCTGTCCCTAATTCGTCCCCCACACCGAAGTGTCGGATTTTGTATCCTAACGAGTATGGTCGCAAACCGTCAAAAGGAACGCTTTAAGCGGAATATATTCTTGAAGAATGTCAGTGGTACACCAGGAGCGGAAAAAACGGTAGCTCTGACGTTATTGTTTCATCCAAATCATATATTATGATCAGCATGCAATGCGTATTAGGGCTTCAATGAAAAAGGCCCATCATGGTTGGTCATGAGACGGGTTGGAGCCGCCGAAGAAGTTAGCTATTTTTTCCCAGCATGACTAGAAAACTAGGATTCTGAGAGATCGCTTTCAGTATCATACAAATCTTGAATTACAGAGATGCTGTCATGCTTGCTGTTTGTCTTGAGTCATCGCGCTTTGGTCTAAACTGCGGCCATAATTGAAAACACCACTGTCACATGGCACTTGCCCTTTAGGCCCAGCAATAAGGCCAAAAACGGTACAATAATCTTCTCGTAAAGGCGAAGTTCGCGGGAGGGAGAAAAACTTTGAATTCATTTGGAGCACGTGCTTGTTCGGCTTGTTTGACGTCATGTGAACTTATTTAGCCTAACAGACTGCTTTTTCAAGATCTAATCGTTTTAATCAGCTGTTAGTGTTGCCTATATCATTAGTATTGTTGCGCGTAATGGCTGATGCACATTATTTGCTTACATGCCAAGCTCAGTATTTTAAACACCAATTATGTGTTTGATAACATACGTACGGATAATCCCGCGCATTCAATTACAACGTAGCCCCCTGCTTCGATGTGTGTATGCAAACAGCCTCAAACATAAGCATCCTGAAATCCACCCCTCAGCCTTCAACGTTCGGGATGTCTCTTATATCATTGTCGAGGTCCCATATTGTAACCCACTTCTACTATGGCTGGTGCGCTTGGACCAAATGTCATATCAGATGTGCAGGCTGGGAGCACATATCCGATGGAAATGAAAATATTCCGTGCATCCGGACAGAGCAAAGGACATCAATAATGTAAATCATCCCAGCCATTTCACCGGCGGCCTTAGCTTATCGATAGCCTAACCCTATCAAGCCTTTTTCCATACATATCCATGCCATTGCGAGGAGCATAAAATGCAAACGATATGGATGGACACATGTGCTGCTCAATGTAATATCACATACACATACATATATATATATATATATATATATATATACATCTCTCTCGTATATATGCATATATATATATATATATATATATATATATATATATATATATAAGCATTGTGATATCAATGGCTAAATCAAGAACCGAGGCTGATAATCAAGCATCCTTGTAAGGGAAATCATGCTGTACTCATGCACTTGCAATGGACTCCACAATTCGCTAGCGCTATTGCAATCACGCCAAAACACGGGCTATGTCGATACTAAACGAACCTTGACGATCAGAAGCAGGTGGTCATTATTGTAACCATGCTTGTTACCGTATTGAAAAGCACGGCACTGTTACAATACCTGTGATTTTGTAATGCTATCGCCTCCGCTACCACGGCTAATTTGGATTCTTGGGACTGACTAAGAAATGGTTAGCTCAGTAGGTTTGAGCGTTTTTTGGCGCACATGCAATACATGTCGGCTGCTCCAGGCTCTCGACCAATCAGGAAGATCGATGCCCCGCCTAAGCGCTAGTGCGGGAAGTTCGTGATACTGTTTCTAAGTGGAAGACTTGACGAACAGAGAATCAATATCGAAGACAACTTAGCAGTCAGCTGAACAATGTTCGGCAAGAGCCAAGAGTCTGGCGGACTGGGGCACCCGCGACATGAGCATCAGCATCGCATGTGCGCCGTTCATGCCTCGATTCAGGTCACCTAGATGATATAAATCGTTCACGGTCTCCGGGCATTTTTGAAGAGTACGTTTGACGTCCCGTGGGCAGAGCAGATCGGTCTGGAATTGTTCCAAAGCCCTCATCTGGTGACCGTCAGGTCCGACTGTTCTGCCCCAGTGACGCGGACGCCAGTCAAGAAAACCTCCACTGATCGTTCGTTTCTGCGGTGATTTGACGAAAGGCCTTGGCCTGACAGTTCCTGCGCTCGCACTCCGCATCCGCGAGTCCGACGTCGTGCGGCTGAAGACCGTGTTTTGAGCGTGATTGGGGTGTTTTGGCTGATCGGCGCCTACACGATGTCTCTCCCGCGCCCGCCAACCGTTATGATAACTGATTCCAGACGGGAGTGTCGACTGCCAGAATGTAAAACACGGTTGTGCTTCAGGCTTGCGTGTTTTAGCAGGCTTGCAAAAAGACACTTTTTGTTTGCTAGCACCTGCATTGCCCATACCTGGGTACATGTCTTCAAAGCCGGTCCGCTGTGCTGATTGGCCAGCCGGACGTTTATTGTGAGGAATATGGAAACGAATGGAACTAAACGACGGGAACGGTCCTTTGGAAACAACGCTGTCGGTCGTGCAGCGTGCTTTCATGCGCATGAATATGATGGTTTATGGTGTGGTCGGATATGCTGGCTCCCATAATTCACTTGGCACTCCGTGGGGTTTCGCACAGTCATCACGCGGCTTACATGATTGATAATGTCTCGTGACATGGATGGGGCAGCGCAGTTAACATTCAGTTTGTATACCATGATCAATAAGCAAAGTGTGTCGATCCGAATGATAGATGAAGTCACGGTTAGCTATGGTACAATCAACATGTATTGTGGCCAGTAAAGCAAATCGGGTGGGGAGCGGTGGATGGCCCGACAGCAGCAGAAGAAAAGTACTACATACTTACAGCGCTGTTAGCAACACAATTTTGAAGCTCGGAACGAGCATGACCTGTTGGATATCTGGTGGTGTATTACGTACATCTACCCGGTTATGAATGTCTCATTTCACCACAAAATACTGCGTAACCAGGCATCTCCAACGTTACTTGCCTACAGGAACTTATCATACATGAGCCAGTGATCCAGACCCATGACTGACGTCAGTTGAGAGGATGAAAGAAATGTGCGGCAATACGATGATAAACCACCCTCAGTTTCGGTGCAAAGTCTGTGTGTTTGCTGGTAGGACAGCTGTTGGTCTATTGTCATCCATGCAGCGGCTGCTAAATGTATGAATGCTGTGGACGCGGACAAAGGTGTCAGGTGTCAGCGGTGAACTTAAGTACTTTAAAAGCAAGAGGAAATTTGGTCATGTTCAGCATGGGGACTTGCATGATGCACATGTGAAGATGGGTGCATCAAGTCAGGAAAGGTACCAGGCATAACGGCATTCAGGACAGCGACAGTCATGCTTTCTAGACACCATGGCGGGTCGATGAATCATGATCTTCTCCACTATTGTGCACCATCTTGCACGCATTATAATCATTCGAACTGTTGTCCATGTGGATGGTACTGTTGTGCACGAAACGTTCAGGGTACTTTTCCGGCTACCGTCGGGTTGTCGTCATGAGAATACAAAGATGTTTGGCGTAAAGCCATTTACGTATCTGACTTAAAGCGTTGTACACGCATCACAGTCTCGAAAGCGCTCCGGGACTCAGGCTGAGAACGCTCAATCTTGACTGGTGAGAACGGCTCTTGACTGATGAGAACGGCGATGTGTCATCCTCGTCCTGTCCCCATCGGTGGACCGGCATTGCAGCCACTACACTATCGAGGAGGACTGATACTCCTCCCCTCCTCCATCTCTTGGTCACCCTGCGCTCATTGGTAATGCAGTGGTCGGGGTCCCGGTTAGAGCCTTTTTCTCCCTCAAAAAGTTAATCAGCATCAGCAACATCATAAATAAAAACGCAGCACTGGCATCATCTGACTAGCCATGCTTACGTCCAAAATGTAATTACCAGCAAAGGGCACCAAATTTGCGTCGCTTAGTTGAAGTAATGCGCATTTAATGCTATCACTTAATGTGCTTGACACACAATTGCGCTCGTAGAAGGTCTTTGCATATGTTAGTAACGGCGGTGCGACTATTGTTGCCACTCGCACTTCTGTCTCTCTATCTATGAATGGAATGGGAGAGCCATGCGAGGATCACCCCGCTCAGTTGACAAGGCGGAAGATCAGGTTGAAGACCCCCCCCCCCCCCCTCCGCCTCCGGCAAAGTTCAGCATTAACCCGACCACGGTGTGGAAGGAAGTTATGCCGTCCCCCAGCCCCCCCCCCCCCTCTCTCCTCGCTGGGGGAGGCGCCAGAACGACGGGCAGAGGGGATATCCGCTTCTATTTCAGGAAAAACTTCACATAAACTCTGCCGTGATATTGAAAGAAACGAAGTAAAAATCATGTTTATCCCCCCCCCCCCCATTCTTTTCACAGGATGCACCGGGACTACCCTTAACCTCAACCCAGCGAGCATACAATTGGGAGGCTCCGCCGCCGCCGCCGGTACGACTGTCCCCGTCATGAGACACGCACCTGGCTTCAGCCGGACCATCCTGCTGATGATCTTGCCGTAGCGGTTGGAGACGACGCAGCGGTAGCGGCCCCCGTGAACGTCCAGGCGGAACAGGCGAGCCGGGAACGGGTGGAAGTACAGGCTGCCGTTGGACAGCGACTCCCTGAAATGAGATCACGCTTCAGTAACCCTTCCAAAAATAGAACGAACGAGTTCCTTCACCAGACCGCACTCGATGCGTGTCTGATGACGCCGAGCAGTATGCTGAAGCGCAGCTCGCGCCGGGCTTCGTCTCACGATCGGCTCATCGCTCGGACAGATGAGCCTCGAAGCGAGCAGCTAACGCAGCGCGCAACAAGCGGTTAATGGCCGGGACGAGACAGCGCCGGTCAAACGACGCTGAACGCCACATCTGGCACGATCTGCTCAGACATGGTAGGAACGTCTGGACGCGTGTGGCGTGCAAACGTGATTTGTTCGCCATACTCGCTGTGTCCGTTTTCGACGTTCATCCACGCTGCTGCAGATTGCAGCCATGTGAGCTGTTCAGACCTCTCATACTGATTTCCTTCAACCGGGGACGAAGTGTGGCAAAATGATTTCGGGGAGCGGGCTGAACGGTGGCAAATGATGAAACGTACTCCCGAAGTACGTCAAGAAACAGACTTTCCACGGATTTGCTCGATTTTTTGTCTTACAGCTGGGAGCGGCAGCCTGGGCCCAAATTGAGGGAGAGCTGCCCCCCCCCCCCTCTCAAATGAATAATAAACTACCCCCCTGTCTTCATGGTGCTCTTAGTTGCACTCATGTGGGTTGGAACGCTTGTATACCCATATTGCACATCTGTGCGACCTTTATCCAGCCAGCTGGAATGACTTCGAGGGACAGCATGTGCTGACTGCATGAACTCAGAGAGCGTGAGAAGGTTGAGCACGAGTCAGTCAGGGTTCAGCGGAATACAGCATCTGTCGGAAACAAAGTTTCTTTAAAAGTTTGTGGTTCGACGGAATAAAAAAGGGCCGCAGGTAGTCAAATGGTCGCGAAAATGGATGATTTACTGCGACTATGCTTATATCACCCAATAACTTGTCTGTACAACAAGAATTTGTTGCATCTTTGAGGCTGGAAAAGTAATTCATCGCAAAGAACGATATCGCAGGCGCACAAGTACCGCACAGCATGCCCAGGGCTAACAACCGCAGAAGTAGATCGCAGCGTCTCCCAGTGAGAAACTAAAAACTATCAGCGTGAATTCATCAATCACATCATGTTGAGACATCACCTGTGTACCTGACACACAAAATAGGTGTGTACTTTTCTCGGACCCTGTCGAGTGAGGAATCACATCTCATCAGGCAGGAGATGGGATCACATCTCATCAGGCAGGAGATGGGATCACATCTCATGAGTGCGATCATTTCGAATGCATTGCAGTCTCAGTGTATTACGTGCTGCCAGTGGGTCACCGATTCGCTGTTCCCCAAAATCTGCCGTCACTGCGGCCGCGCCGTCATCATGCCGTGAGGAGAGGCGATGGTCTACAACCTCGCCTTGACATGGCTTTAAAACGCCGACACTCAAAGCTGCTGCGGGTCATATTAACGCCAATGGGCCCAATTTTAATTTCAGGGTCGATATCCATTACGCCATGGCACGAAATGATGAGTTGGAGCTTAACAGGCGCAAATGGTCTTCCAAGGAATTTATATTCCTCGGGCGGTTGCGACCCACAGTCAGCATATTACGTTCAGCGTCTCAACAAGAAAATAACACTCTTATCAAGTAGCAATATGGTGTGTGTTTTGGATAATTGGCTTATCTAGATGGAATGGTTTAAATCAACTGCTGTTTAAGGCAGAGGGCGCCAGCATTGCCAGTGCCCGCCAGCCTTTGAAGGCATAATAAAAAAGGCAGGCAAATGATGATAAGACGAATGACGGCAGGCCAACGCGTCATCATGGCATGATGCGTTTCATGCGCTACGGTTAAAGCGTATGCAGCATATTGAACACCCATATCCTTCCCACTGAGGATATGGGTGAGGCTGACTCAATCATCCACACGCAGGACACATTCATGAGGAACGTGTCGCTCTGCGTCCAGCATGTCCAAAATGGAGTATGTGACAGACTGTGCAGAAGGCAGAATGGGTGTGCTCAGTGATAACACACATGATATCAAATAAAAGAAATTATCAGTTCCTCTACATGGCGAAATGGCCGCGGCCGTCGGTGGGCCCTTCAGCCACAATCACAATCATTCATGGTTTTAACACAGTGGTTCACTTTTCTATTCACAGGCGCATGAAAGCCTGCTCCTACACAACATGTGTACAGGGGAAATGCTGTTCACTCAACGGCATCTGCAGGCGGCCCCAGGAAATGTCCCACCCGTGTTCCTGCATTGATGATATCCACACTGGTATCGGTAGACATTGTCGCAAAACCCCACACCACCACCATCGCGGTGCCTAGAACCGTACGGCATAACGTTTTTTCTTGCCCACAAGCACTATGTCTCCCTCCACCAATTCCCTCGTGAACCACGAGACCAGCCCGTCCACTCGCAGTCCGCCCATGTCCCGGCGGGCCACGGCATCGACGCCGACGCGGCTGCCGCGCCGCTCCTGTCGGCGCCGCCGGAGGCACTCCCGTCGGCCGGCCGGTGCGCCGCCGCTCGCGCCCCACAGCGACCTCGCCGCACACAAGCCCCGTCGGCAGCGCCAGCCGCTCTTGAAACGGGCCACGTGGCGCGCCGGCCGGCGCTGATCGTCGTTCGGACGGCGCCGCGCCGCCCCGGAAGAGCCGCCGGAAACGGAGCCGGCCGGCGCCGGCAGAACGCCGCCGCCGCACGGACGGAACGAGGCCGCTACCTTCCTGCGACGGCGTCGTTCCAAGCGAGAGCTGGCGCGACACTTAGCGCGTGTTGTTGCTTAGCAACACAATTTCGACGGACGGTGATATTTGCGGCGCGGCGCCGTCGTAGATGGAACGCAGTTTTTAATTTTTCGAAGCGGGCGCGTGATATCGCGCGGAACAAAATTATCTCACATCACATTTTGTCACTAATAACTTTCAGGAAGTTCCAGGACAAGCCTAGCCACGACGAGACTGCGCCAGGAGATGGAAGAATTATTTTCGGTATTCCAAAGCAGGTACTGTAGCGTCCATGCGGTTGTCATTATTAAGAGATAGGTTGGCCGCCATTGAGACAGTTCACCTGAAAATAGCAAGTCTTAACATATGAAAGAGGCTGCAGTCGTGCGCTTTTAGCCTTGCTTATTCAGACGTCCAGTAGCTACATAGCTCACACCACGCTAAAGGGCACACGCAACTGGGATCACACAAAGGCAAAGCATACATGTATTTGAAGCCGGTGAGCCCACCCAGTGGGTAATGCTTCAGTGAATTATACCCCGTCGCGCCCCGTCCTTGGACTGACCCGATCTCTTTCCCCTTCTTCAACAGATCTACCCCTCTGCCACCACTGCGATTGAGCTCACCGCCCCCCCCCCCCCCCCCTCCCCATCCCTCTCCCATCTAATCGTACTTCCGTCCTCATCTCTCCATCCATTTGCTTTGATCACACTCGTCCTTCCGTCCCGTCCGTTCGTGTCCGTCCCCATCCCTGCGTCACGTCTCTTGTGCTGGATCACCCAGTAGTCTGTAGCCCTGTCTCACCTTCCGTCCCATCCGTTCGTGTCCGTCCCCATCCCTGCGTCATGTCTCTTGTGCTGGATCACCCAGTCGTCTGTAGCCCTGTCTCACCTTCGCATTGATGCCTCGCCGCTCAGTGACCCGTCCCTGTCCTTCCCCGAAGCCGCCCAATGACGCGCCCCTGCCGCGCCTCCGTGCTGGGCCACGCAGCCCGTCCCCTACCCTCTCTCGCGGCCGCCTCGTGACCTATTGCCCCCTGGGCCGGGTGCGGACCCCGCGGCAGGCGACGACCATGCATTATCCAGGGACAGGAGCCGCCTGAATGCCGTCGTTTACATACGGCCTGACGGACGAGCGCCATTACAGACACCATCAGGGACATCCCACACCTGCAGCCCCCCCCCCCCCCTCCCCCTATCCCACCGCCCACCGTCTACCTCCAGACGATGTTGAGTGTGTGGGCTCGGACTGTGTGGCGATAAACTGGCGAAAGAACCGGCGAAATTAAAAACAAAGGAAATCATAACTCGCGAAATAATGCAACGAATTGCGACGAAAGTGGTACCACGGGATAAAATAGTACCACGGGATATAGTTTCATCCAATCATCTATTTTGACCAAAGCTTGAATCTGGACGCCGCCGTTTGGTGCTTTGCTATTAATCGTCTTGTTAAAATTACTTCAATCGCGGAAAGTAGCACATTAATACCACGATTGTCATGCACAAGCGTTGATGTTCGCTAGACTGTGTAAGTCGCCGTACAAGTGTGCTCTCCTAACCTTCGCAGCACAAACGTCCAAAGACTGAAACCAATGCCTGAACAAGCCGACAAATGCATCCGTTTGCTTTTCTACCTGCAGAGGTAGAGTTGATGTGGAGAAGAGCTGGAATTTGTATAGAAATACCGGTGCGGCCACCAGCCTAGAGACGATGTTCACCAGTCTGGAACTAGCAACGTTCGACTGGCACCAGCAGTAAAGCTGGCTTTCAATGTGCCCAACACGAGTCAGTACTTCCTGGCAGTGGCAAATTGACGTCTAACGACATTTTCCCCACACGCGCCGGCCCTTGGTACTGGTGGGGCACCGCCGTTACTGTTGTAGTGCTGACAGGTGTTACCACAGACAGGTGTGACCACGGTGCAAAAAGCTTGCATCTCTATGCATTCCTCATATGTGTGTGTGTGTGTGTGTGTGTGTGTGTGTGTGTGTGTGTGTGTGTGTGTGTGTGTGTGTGTGTGCGTGTGTGTGTGCGTGTGTGTGTGCGTTTGCGTGTGCGTGTGCGTGCGCGTGCGCGTGTGCGTGTGCGTGTGCGTGTGCGTGTGCGTGTGTGTGCGTGCGTGCGTGCGTGCGTGCGTGCGTGCGTGCGTGCGTGCGTGCGTGCGTGCGTGCGTGCGTGCGTGCGTGCGTGCGTGCGTGCGTGTGTGTGTGCGTGTGCGTGTGCGTGTGCGTGTGCGCGTGTGCGTGTGCGTGTGCGTGTGTGTTAACCTGCGATCCTCTGCAGTGCGTCACGACGGATACCCGTGCTTGACCCTACACCTCGGTCTGGACATCGTCTCTGGACGGCCATTCCAGCTGGTAGCCGCACATCGTTCTTTAAGCGCAGTCGCCATGTGGGCTGCGAGAGCGGGCGGAGCGCCTGCATCGTCCGCCAGTTCCCCTAGAGGCCGGACGTCACCACCGCTGGTCATCCTCGAAAGCCGTGGTCCGCCCTAGGAGCCGGCGTGACAGCCGGGGCCAGCGACACGCCCCAAGCGCACGCACTTGGCCGTGCGGTCTCATCTCGGCACATAACTCGGCAACTTCGCCCTCAGTCGTTCACAAACTTCTCAATTAGAGCACTTCCAAGACAAATTGCAGGGGGCGCTGCGCACTCAGCGGAGAGGCACGTGGCCTTGCAGAGGCGTTGGCTACTGGTGCCATATTTCGGGACATCTGCACTATCACGATAAGAGAAGGACTGCAACAGTCCACACACTGGTGCTAGTTTGTGTTCTTGTAAGTGCCAACTTGTCCTTCACGACAAAACAACCAGATGAATGTTCTGGCCGGTGAAAACATCAGTACATGTGAATTGCCCAGTACTTCCAAAGCTATGCATATCTTTACCATATCAAAGACTGAGCAACCATGATCGTAAGTACATCTGCAGGAGGTATGACATCCGGTATTTCAGGTGATCAAGGAACTCGTACAACTGTCATCCATCTTCACTGACTGTTCCAGTCAGCGGCACATAACAGCATTCATGTCTCACTTTTTTCTCCAAAACAGAAAAGCCCACACCGCAAACAAAATCATGGAAACTACAATTTTGATGTGTCTGGATATGCTTGAAGATGAAAAAAACGCAAAAGACGAAGACGCAAAAGACAAAGACGCGACTTTAAAGACGAACAAAACCCTAAGTGTGATGTGTTCGCCAAACTCTATATCGCTACCCAAATTCCTGTTTAGCTCACGTTACGCAAGTTTGGAAAAAAACGCAAGCACGGGGTGGGCAGCGGAAGAAGGCACGCCTGCGGAGATTGACGAGGGCAACAGCAAAACAACACAAATCAACCGCAAACCCGTCCGACCGAGAGTACTCTCTGGACAGGCACTGCATCCTCTCACCTGACGCCGGACACGTAGGAGACGGGGTCGCCGGAGTCAAGAGTCCAGAGCACGTCGAGGGGCGGGGTTCCGCGCCCCCGACAGTCCAGCCGGGTGCCGGACGTGTTGGTGAAACGCACGAGACCGGGCGGCTCCAGAAGAAACTGGGGACCCTCGTACGACGCGCCTGCCGCACGGACACGGTCGTCAGAGCCGGCCAGACAACCTTCAGCCGTCACTGAGACGCGGATGCAGTCATAACAATCTGTCTCTATTATCATCTGTCTTGCTTCTTACTGCACCCTCGCGACAACCCGTTTGTCTGGGGCAGGCTGCATGCGTCTGCAACGAGTGGGCCGAGACCCCGAGGGAGGGAAGACGCCCGACCGGATACCCAGCGCACATGCGCGGGTTAAGCTCGGCGTCTGGCCCCCCAGGCGCATGCAGGCCTGTCCCACCGTTAACCATTTTACTTCATCCCGAAGCCCTGAAATGACCGTTTCTGGTCGAAAGGGCTCTGATCTAAACAACCAAACCCAACCAGTCATAAGCGCCGTTCGGACGGTCAGACAACCTGCGGCCGTTACTGAAACACGGATATGGTCCTTTGGCCGGCCAGACAATCAGACGGCTTTCAGTCGCCACTGAGACAGGGACACAGTCGTTCGAACCGGTCAAACGGCTTTCAGTCGCCGCTGAGACAGGGACACAGTCGTTCGAACCGGTCAAACGGCTTTCAGTGCCGCTGGACAGGACACGCGTAACGGTCAAACGCTTTCAGCAGCCGCTGAGACAGGGACACAGTCGTTCGACCGGTCAAACGGCTTTCAGTCGCCGCTGAGACGGGACACAGTCTTCGAGCCGTCAAACCTTCGCAGCCACTGAGACAGGGGTCGTTCGACCGGTCAAACGGCTTTCGTCCCGCTGAGACAGGGCAACAGTCGTTCGAGACGGACAACGTTAACCGGTCAAAACGGCTTTCAGTCGCCGCTGAGACAGGGACACAGTCGTTCGAACCGGTCAAACGGCTTTCAGTCGCCGCTGAGACAGGGACACAGTCGTTCGAACCGGTCAAACGGCTTTCAGTAGCCACTGAGACAGGGACACAGTTATTAAAGCCGGCCAGACCGTCTGCAGTTGTCAATAAGATACAGAGGTCATAGAGCCGGCCAGACGATACCACGGCATTCAGTGCGCTACCTTTGACACCTAATTCCGCAGAGGCTCGAAATTTGGCTTTGCCTGAGCTTGCCTTTGGCAAGCAGCTGAATTTTAGCTCAATGTCACCAGAAAAACGTTGAGAGCATCCCTCTGAGGATTGAAGCCTTATGGAACTTCCGATATTGCATCACGTCTATTCTCTCAACGTCTTGACTACCTAGTAACTAAAGCTACAGATCAGCCGATTAGTGAAATGTTCCAGATGTGTTCCGGTTCCAAACGTACTTGTCCTGCGACAAATCACGCGAATGCGCACGCTTATGCATATTTTGGCAGCATTCGCCCTTGGCTGCTGCGAAGATGGGACCCACATTCTTCAGGATTGTTTTTGTTTTAAATGGAATGTTTTACATTTGAAGGTATTGAAGCAAGCATCAGGTATGATGAAACAAGCTTAATTATTGGTATACTTAAAGGAAGAAAAGACTGCTTTAGAGAACACCCATATCCCCGTTTACTAAATATGCTCCTCGATGCTTCATTTTTTTAGCACGTCATCGTACCTCCCACAATATTGATGGACAGCCAGTTGACGGCCCTTATATCTGGAAATCCTGTTCACGAACGACAGATGGAAACAACTGAACCATTATGTCCTTCTGGGCCTTGATCGTCGCATCGGGTATGGAATGGCAGCATTTGAATGACGTTGTTATGACGTCATGAATGTCAAGGTGCGCTTGAAATATTCTCCCACAATTACTCTCCAACATCTTTGCAGCCTTCTAGATCAGGAATAAGAGGGCTTCAGGTCCTTAAAAGGGCATGGCCGTGAGCTGCATCAAAAGGTCTTCAATATGGCCATGGCAGTTTGAAACTCCATACAAATATGGAACACTCCCTGTGAATTAGAGATAGCTTTTTTCTTTCTTATGTCCGGCATGCTTCAAGCATCCCCAAAACTAAGGATTAGGTGAACTCCGATGGAGAAATTACCGGTCCTTGCCTCAACTGATGTTTCATCCCTCCGATACGCGTATTCCTTCAAAGAGCGGTTAGAACTCGCTAGGCGCCTTGGTGCGCAAGAAAGGGTCGATCTCGCACGAGACGGGCACAATAATTGAAAAAACATGCTGCAAGTATTTGTTAACGAACTGTCGAATACAAACTGCTGCATCGATAGCCATAAGGCCTTTGCCTCTTCAAACACTGTAAAATGTTTGCATGATGTTAGGAAAACAGGGACAGGCTGCTCGGACACACTGTTGGGTTATTCGGTGAAATATAGCCGGAAGTAACACATTCCGTTGGAATGCAAGCATAGCTGTGTTCGTTCATCATAGTGATATGTTCGTCATGCATTGATGTGGGCTCTCAGTAACGATCCATTAGGCCAGCCGGTGACTCATTTTTCCATGAATGCCAGCTGTTCTCACAGCACTGCTGCTATGCAAATAGTGGGGCAACAGCTTATGGAAAAAGCTATAACTGCTCCACTAAGCCCGGCATGGGTTATAAGCGCATTCAGGACGCAAATATGCATTGCATGCTCAGTAACATGGCCGTCAACAGGATGTGGGGTCTATGGGGTCAGCCGATTACCTGAGGGGGAGGACTCATGCTCGAAAGTGACACAGATTGATGGTTTCGGTGGTAACACGTCGTACGGGCAGGGCTCCCCGCTGGCTTAGTACTGCTCGGATGGTGTCACCAACGCTCTACAATCTCAGGACTGGGCAGTGCTAGATATTACAGCCGAAGTACCCTCTGATGGGCATTGTGAATGTCATCGACATTCACTGGAGACACTTTTGTGTCTCAAGTTGAAATTACGCCCACGGTTACAAAAGGTCATCAAAAGTTGATTTAGTTTGCATGCAAGTTGCCCAGCTGAATTCTTAAGTGAACTTTGCAAACATTTAGAACATGCTCTGAACATCAATTAGCATTAAACTACTGGCCTTCATTGCTTACCCTGATCCATCACGTCCTTGCAATCTGATGGTCTTTCGCGGCAACATGGTTCTTATTAGAGAAATATTGTGCCTCGAGTAAAACGTGATCCCAGTTGAACAGAAAGTATTGTAGGATGTATTTTAAAAAGCAAGTGCTTGCAGGCCAACTCGGGTCAGGCCATATAATGACCTCCTCGTCTTAGCACAGCACTCGCAGGTGTGGCAGAAGCCCAAAGCAGAGGATCGAAATTGTGGACGCAGCGGGACGGTGACGCATCCAGAACTGTTTCGTTTCGATTTGCTAACAACAGTGGTAACTTACGAAAAACATGGGTTAAGTATCTACATACTTTGCAATGGAATATCATGCATGTATTTCTCTCCCCCTCTCACGCCGTCTCTCCCTCCACCCCTCCCTCCCTCCCTCCCCATTCACTCTCTCTTCTCTCTCCCTTGCTCTTTCTCTTTCTTTCTTCTCTCTCGAGTAATGTTAAGTCGACGGCCTGACATGGCTAGGACTTAAACATTTCAAGATGTCAGAAATGTGTGTGGTTTAAGGTACGAAAGCTCCCTAGGATTAACGCCAGCAGTTCTGCAGCTTTATAACGTCCCAGAGGACCTGTCCGTCTCTCCATAACCTCCGCCTACTACGCTGTCTAGCCTCAGCAGGATGCCTACTGCCTCGCAATTTGAGCTTGGATATTTAATGATATTCGAGGTGGCCAAAGATATGCAATGATATTTATTGATGTTATTGGATATTCCTGGTGACCATTTCAATCGAGCAGTGCTGTAATACCTCGAGGCGTACGTTTTACGGTTGGTAAAGCTGGTAACGCAGCGCACGCTTGAATTAGCCTGCCAAAAAGGCATGGGTAACTAAAAGGATAAAGGATGATATAATGCGTCGCAGTAAGTATTGAAAACTCGTGACCATGAAAGCGTCACGCACAAGGGAAATGACAATAATCCTTTTTGTTTGACAACTGTCTTGGGAACCGACCATTACGGTTCTTCAAACACATTTTATTTAACGATGATTTGCTTTTCACTGTGTGAACTCCTGTGCGGCGAACCGAAAGCCAATTAAAGGGTGGCTTCTGTCACGCCGCCCAAAAGCAAACGCAAACATCTCACCGTGAAGCGAGAAATTACAGCTGGAGCTGTCATACACTGCTCAGAGCTGCAGATATTTTTTGAACTCCTTAAATTGGTCTTGGAAAAACACGAACAAGTTCCATCGAGCCACAGCAAATGCCTGGAATGCTTCGTGTTGTTATCAATACAGATTCGTTCTTATATTTCGTTCGCACTAACCGATAGCTTACGGCATGAAGTGTAATGCTTTCGGACCTCAGGCTTCGTCACCATTTGTAGCAGGTTTTAAAGAAGTGTCTTCAGCGGTCGCCGATAGCAATCAACGTGATGATAGCCGAGACTAGGTCGACAGGTATTGAGAGAGCCATCATGGAACGAAGCGAGATGCGTGTCACATGTTGCTCCGGCTCTCAAATGAAACAGCTTGTGTTCATCGCTCGCTCGCAACGCAACAACGGCTCTTGCAAAGCGCGATAAGAAGATGCAAAGTTCCGATCAACAACATTGGAGTTAATGCGGTGTGAAAACAGTGAAGAGGAGTCATGTATGGAGACACTGGACCCGTGAAACCAGACCGAACTATACTACTCTTTACCAGTTAGCGGGATATTGATGTGTGCATTTCGCAGCGCGACATTGCAGTTCGATGAATGCTTCCCAAGGCGGCGAGCTCCGTGATGAAATGCGCACTAGGCAAGGCGAAAGGTTTCTGCAACTCCAGCGTGAGAATGGCGCCGCATAAAAAAAAATCCGCACCCATTTCTACAAATGGAAATGGAATGAGCCTGGAAATGAAATAAATGAACGGACGAAGGAGTGAGCGAAAAAACAACAATAGCGTGCTGTCATTTCCAGTTCAGGACAGGTTATCAGGCGCTTGAACCCTTCAAAGGCCAAAATATAGCGTCTTTTCAATCTCCTATCTTCGGACCTTGTAACTGGACTGAGAATTTCCGCGTGAACGTAGGCTCTCCTGGCGGAATTATGGCCACGGCCCTCACAAAGGCATACCAATGCAGTGAATCCAACTCGAGCAAATACTCTCGCTGCAGAGAAACGACCACATCGGACCACTCGAACCCCAACAGCTCAGGTTTATCGCAGACAAGCCAAATCAAGTACTGCAATGCTACGTCTCGTCTCGCAGCTTCAGGTCACCTTAGATTGGCCCTAGGTCGTTGTGGATGACCCTAAACCAAGCTGCGTGACGTCAGGTCAAGTTTTCGTGGCCCCAATCAGTTTGTAATCTCAGGCGACCTTATATGATGTCATATCAACTTTTGCGGCCTATTGCGTAACACTTAGGGTCGTATTCAAGCCTGTATACAATGTTGCCTTGTCGAATTATGGTATGAATTATCTGTTAAACACGAGCAGTCTTCGCCACAACTACAACCAAAATTCATGGTGGCACTGGGCAGCGCATCAAGCAACTGGATCAATGCACATGACATAGCAAAATATGCATTGATTAGACAATGTCGGATGGCTGCAGCAAAAAGCTCCGCAGTTCCGGGCTGAAAATCGAAGTTCTTTGTCGAGTCTCTGATGGTGATATGTGACTCCAGGGCAGTTGGCGTGAGTCCCGGCCAGGGCTGTTGATGTCTCTCATAAACTGTTATCGGCTCAATATTGTCCGTGACCCTCATCAATGTAGCAAAACAGGACCTTTCGTTTGCCGATGTTTTTCCTGGGCGTAACCTTTTGCCTGCAGGATGAAAGTATAAGGCAGGAAGTTGCATTTACAGCAGGTTTTATAGAGGTCCATTTCTGAATGTTTTTGATTCGGCATGTTTGTACGCATTGTCTATAAAATAGTTATCGATGCTTCCAAAGCCCTTACAAAAGGGACCAGCTATCTGGAAGCTCCCAAAAAAGTTGGCTATATCAGCAACCCAATGGCTTCTCGTCTTATGCTACCGGGTTTGCAATAAGACCGTAAAAAGTGAGGTAAAAACGATCAGCGGCCCGGTGCTGGTCTGCTGACCGGCTCCGACCATAGGTGCAGCATAGAAGCTCTAGCTCATTCCTGACCACACTTCAGCGGATGCGAACTCACCCCTGCCCCGTGGCCAGTCCCACCCCGTGACCTTTGATCAGCAGGTGCGGCCATGGCACCGTCGGATGACCGGCAGGTCAGCCGGCGTGACCTGTGACCTTCAACCCGCTCCGTCGCCGCCGGCCATGGGCGGCTTCATCAGTGGGCCGGTATCGGACGCTATTGACACAGCCTCTGGCCAATCAGACACGGGTGCTGATAAAACAGCGGGGCCCGGCCGGCCTGACGCGGTCAGCGCTGCCGCGGTCCCCGGCACACGCGCGGCGCCGCGCGCGCGCCCGAGTGGCCGACCAGCCGTGTCCGGCCGGACAAAAGGCTTTGTCGGGCGCCTGGGTTCTGACAGTGAGACTGAGCGTGCCATTCGTGCCCGGAATGACCTCAGTGGCTCAGACGGCTTTCAGCATTGACTGGGTGGGCCCAAGTTGTCTTTGGGTAATTTGCTGTCGGTGGCAGAAGCCTAGTTTTCTCCCATGTGGATGGAAGGGCTCGCCACGTCTCGGTAACGCGGGTCCAAGCCGTTCGTTGGCATGCGGGGGATCAGAGAGCGTGCATGTGTGGGAGTTGTCCGGAACGACCTGAAGATAAATGCGCCTCTGGTTACAGGCCAGTGAAATATGAGGGCTTGCATGCAATTTGTGAGCCACCTGGAACGCTATTAAACGCCATGTTTGCTCAGCATGTGCACGCTTTATGTGCTCATGAAACACCTGATTATTGGTCCCGTTGGTCTACTTTACCGCGGAATTAGCCTTCTTATAAACCTTCCTTCAAGTCTGCTGGCATTCAGTGAAATACCCCATTGAAAGCGCTGGAAGTTTCGAATTGAAAAGTTCGGACTCAACATTGATAATTCGGCATATCCCTGCTCCCCGCCGGCTACTCGTCAGCGTATAAAAGAAGTCAGTATGGCGAAAATATCTCAGATTTTGATTTCATTACCAACCGCTCGGCGAAATGTGCACATTTCCTTCACAACATCTGCATTAACTCGAACTGAAATGGGGCGGCGTGTATTGAAAGCGTTTCACTGGCCGTCGGTCCTCACCACCTGCAGAATGAGAGCTTCACCTGTTGTGAATAGTGAGCATGTTCCCTCCGTCACGCCTCTAAAGCTTGCCTACATATTCAAATTATAAGTTACCAGCACAATTAAAGCTAAAACGAACAATTCACTACACAAATACGGCTACATTTTAGCCATTCTGTGGATGAAATTCCATTAAATGTTCAGGACTGCATTAACACGTAACACAGTTTTGAGCTATTGTGCCGTGTTATGTAGCAGCATGGTAATGAAATCCAGCTAACAGTTGAGATTTCATATTTTCATGCTTCTTGACAAGCATATCTATCTTGTAAAAAACGCGTACCACCGTTATCTGAGCCACATTCGAAAGCTGGAAGCATTCCAGAAAAATCCGAAGCGTTAATGCATCACTTACTTCCCTTCAGATGGGTTGCAATGAAAGCACCACACTTACCTTCAATACGCCACCATCACGCATGGTGGTGCACTATGGCTTTGTGAGAATCGCATGATTCGCACATCAACAATTTTGGCTTATTAAGTAGGACTTGGATCGCATATGTTTATCTTACCTGGCAACATGATTTGTCTGTAGTGCCGTCAAAATTGGCGTGACATTTCACCCGGTATCGCATCGAGTGCTGCAGCAACATGGACCACTTGATTGGATTAACAGTATGCCACTGTCAAATCTTTGCCACCTCAGTAACCCATTACACTTTACGTTAGTTTGGATCGAAAATAATTCAACCGCCAGACCATAACTCTGGTCAACCTCATCAAAGACTAGCTGGTTTCCGCCTCTGGACCGATGACGTCATAGATCGGGTGAAATGCCTACACGT